GGACATTACGTAATGTTGGTCGGAAATTTAAGGCTTGCCTGTCGTATCGATTCCTGACTGCTACCGTGAATTTGATTGGTTCCCGTGGCACAGCAAGATTCAAGGTTGTACTAAGGAGGTGAAGAATTGGTAAATTAGTAACGCACAATCAGTATGAAGTGTTCTTGCACCAGTTGAATTACTTTTATCCATCCCTTGTGAAGAAATTCAAGAACAGCCAAAACCAACAGGAAGAAACGAGGGGGCAATAGTCGGAAGAGAAAAGCATACACCGACCAACTCCAATTCCTCCCTTCTCACCATGTCTACAATGCTTTGAGTGAGGATGCAAGAAACCACGACATCTTTACCAAATGACTTAACACACACAGGCACACACACATTCATTTTGTTTGCTTGACATGTCAGTGCTGTGATGATGATGATGATGATGGTGATGGTGATGGTGATGCAGGCCACTACATTGGCAGCAGAAGTCAGATTGACTAAGGTGGTGCACATTGGTCGTAGTCACCAGGACCAGGCAACATGCGAGCCTGAGAGGTGTGATCGGAGTGAGTGTGGATGCCAGTGCATTGTTACATTACCGGGTGCGGATGCAGGAGGCGGCATATTGAGGACGGCTTGGTGAGGATGATGTCGAAGCAGTAGCCGCACAGAGGCAGAGGTGGAGGAAGAGGAGGTCGAAACGGAGGACGGAGGAGGGAAGGTTTTTGTGTGAGGTGACGTGGGTGGAGGAGGGTGGTGAGAGGGGTGGAAGAGGAAGGGAGGGAGGGAGGGCGGTTGGAGGAGGGTGGTGAGAGGAGAGGAAAGGAGGGAGGAGAGTAAGCGGATAGGGACGGAAGGCGAACATTTGATATGACGGTGACTCACTAATGTTGGTTGAGAGGTTGGCATCCTTAATAAGCCTCGTTGACTTAACAATTGTACAAACATACTCGTCCGTGGGAAAGATATTTTGAGTTAGTGAAAGGTAAAAACTGCAAAACCTAATCAGTGAGTTCAAGTCAATTTTACTGGAACTAAAAGTAAAGTGCCATTGATAATAAAAAAAGCATTTTCTCTCAGCATTTAACACACATCACATTTTCTTTCCACATTCTGGCAGATTTCCCTGCTCATCATCCCCGTACTCAATCTTAACGAAAGTCATCTATTCAGTAGGGGAGAGGGAAAGCTCTCATTTCCATACGCCATCATGA